CGCCAATATTGGAAGTTCCCCTTCCCATCAAATTTACCGACGGGGCACTGCACAAAGTCATTTCTGTTTGCCATTCTTCTTGAGCCTCAGCTCTGATACCAGATGTAGAATAAATCAAAAAACTCACGGCAGCTAACTCACAAACAAACAACCAAACACCACAGCAAGCACACAGATAAAACCAGAGGATAATCAAGCAAGAAAACACTTACTCAATGAACACTCAATGAACTCACGCAGACACGGAAGAGAATAGAAGGAAGAAGACTCAAGCTGGAAACTCAGAGAGAATATGGAAGAAAAGCTCTTTCGTCTGATTAGTTCACATTCAATAATAATAATTTTTACAACAACACTCTCATTACAAAACAAGAGACCAACGTCTCTTTGAGAGACAAACTTTTAGTCAAAAGAGAAAAGTTGCCTAGAGGACATCAACCGACATCATGCCTATAGGGTAAAACAAAATACCCTATTGAGTTAATAAACAAAGCCAAGTCTAGCCGACAGCATGCTTACATGCTTTTACAAAATATGGATAAAGTTGGATTCCTTTAGCTTGGTTTAACTTTCAACATATAATAGTGTCATTCTTTCATGACGAGGTTCTTGAGGTTGACAATACGTTGTGTAACTGGGAATTTCCTTGTATGCAGGCCATTGTGGATATGATGTGCAAAAGGTATCGTGGAATTTCTTATGTTGCTCCATTTTCTTACATTACTGCTAGTGAATACTTTTACACTCGTGTATGATAAAATAAGTTATGCATGAAAATCTGATAAAGTATTAATGGCACAGCTCTGTCGACTTTTCCAAATATTAATCATCCTTAAGAACTTGGTTTTCTTCACAACTAAATGTCACACTAATTGCATACAGGTAATTTCACATGGATTAAACTTCAAATCAGCAAAATATGTGATAAAAACAATTGCAATAAGTGTATATTAGTGCATCATCTAATAGTAGAATATAGTCAGAAAACTTGACCGTAACATCTGTATACATGAAACATTGGACTTTAGTTTACACATAGTTGCACTGGTCAGTTGAAATTTGAGAGGAGATTAGGCAAACCTGAAGAGAAAGCTGTTTAATCTGGTACAGTTGACAATAAAAAAAGCCTTCATGGTGACACGAGAATTATTTTATGGTAGAAAGTGATTGCAAACTACTGGACTTAAAAAAATTGTTCAATACTGGGGTCCAAAGTCACTGCTGTCTGCCAATTACCCACTCTCTGCTTGGCATTGACCCCCTCTTCCCGAAACTTCAACTTGATTACTCTGTCTAGATTTATTAGTGCACATCCTTCAAGAAACGTAACCCCGGAACAACTGGAAAAGAAGATCATGATTCCAATACTCAATTTTCAACAAGTGAATTAAGATTGTTTTACAAATATCCTCTTTTTTTTTTTTTTCTCTTTACTACACAGCATTTTAATCTATGCCATAAATTTTGAAGAACTGATTTTTTATTATGCAGAGCATGGAGAATCTTCTTTTCATGTCAGCATCAACCTTGGAGAAGTCTGATGATATTATTGGCTTATCTAGTTTAAAGGTAAGCTTTAGCTTTAATGCATTCCCCAGCCAATTGCGAAAGTATAGTAATTGTTAGTTGAACAATTTGAAGAGAAATTGGTCAAATGGACAAGTGGCCAAAGGGGAAAGTATGAGAAACGCTAGTTGGAAGTTTGAGGTAAAATCCTATAACAACAAGATGGATATACAGTTGAGATAATTTGATCTTGTTTAATAGCATCTTGATACTTTACTCAGACTTGATATGCGGGCGTTACCTGAATGGCAGGCAGGGAAAATTAAAGAAAGATCTTAGCCTGTCAGAAGTAAGAGAAAGGACTTAAATAATTACTGAATTTTGATATTATTACTTTTTTTTTTTATCACGATAAGATTGTTCAATCATCTTCCGTGTTTCACTGCGTTAGCACTGAAGCTATGACATGAAATAACTATCAATAGTTTTTCATTTTCTTGTTCTTTTTATTCATTTTAAGTTTTTTTTTTTTCCCTGTAACAGTCTACAGAGAAGAGTCCAGATCAACATTCTGCCCATAGGTATGTTGTTATCGGTAGCATTTGCTAGTTCACTTTAGAGGAGTCTTATTGTGCTTTCACTTGGAATGAACTACTCTTTTTTCTATTTCTTTTTCGTCTCTTTCATTACGCACTAACTAGGACCTTGAAATTGTTTTTGTATTCGTGCAGTGAATCACCAATAGAAGAAAAGGATGGGTTAGTTCTTCAGAAAGAGGTTTTAGAAGCATTGTTTCATGTTCCTGAAAGATCTGAGGAAGCACCTAAAAGAAGTCACCCGGTGAGGGAAGTGAAGAGATACAAGGCATTTAGAAAATTTGCGGTTGATCCTTTTAGAGACACTCTTGTAGAATGTAAAACTGCTACTCTGGCACCAGAAGTGGTAACCAGTGCAGGTACAAACTTCAATCTTTTCATAGTCATATAATTACTCATCCAATATTTTTCTTTCTTCTAATTTTTTTCGTTCTTTATCTGTTTTTCTGTAATTCTTTAAGATGTTAGGGGGAAGTAAAGAGGTCATGGCTACAGTGTACGGAAGCTATAATTTGATGCTCGTTCTTTTACTTTTCTATAACATGCAGCATTATATATTTGATTTAGTTGAAGGTAAAGTTTCCTTTAGCCAGAAGTTCTTTCAGAACTGAGTCTAATTAAGTGCACTTTACTTTACTGGATTGTTAAAAGAAAGAAGTATGAATAGTCTTTATATCATACAAAAATTCTAATAAAAGACTCGGAAACACGAGAAAAGTATTGCTTATCAATAACAAAATTCCATTTGCTTGATAAGAATTCTGACATGAAATTTGATTTTTCAATCAACCAATTTTCATTGGATGGACCTTCAATTTTTTCTAATGGAGCACCTCAGATCATTCTACTTCTCTCTCCTCATTTTAAAGTTCATTATCCTGATAGCTTCTTACTTCGTTCTAAATAATTTGGTCACAGTTGTCCTGTTATATGGAAGTGGATTTAGGATTTGGTTCTGTTGTATGATACTTAAGTGGCCATCCAATCACATTTCTCTGACCCAATAACTGATCTTGTCCTATTGGATACCTTTGGCTATTGACTTAGTAATCATGGGTGTGGCTTCATTTCAATTGTCCGTGGTGATTGACTAAGGATATTACTATTTCTTTTCCAGTTGTTTCCATATAAAGTTTTCTAACGCTTTTAATTTCTTCAAACAGAAGATGGAGATGGTGACAATAGCTATCAGGTCCTACGTAGATCTGTAAAAGAACATTGGATTACAATGAAGGAATACTATAAAGCTGTAAGATCCTCCTATGAACTTTCTGAAAATTTACTTGCAGAATTTATATTATGGAATAAAGGAGACCACATAGCTATAGGAGAATGGTGGTCCGTTACTCTTCTTGACAAAAGGGAGATATAATAGCCTTCTTAGTACTTTCTCTTTAATTTTCTGCTTGGGTAGCATCATGCCATCAGGCCAAGCATTTTCTCGTTACATAATTTCAACTTCAACTTTGTTGGTTTACAGATCTCCTGCTAAATTGATCATCGTTATTATCCTTTGGCATAGTGAGTACTAATCCTCCCACTTGCTGTGCAGGCTTTTGATGCATTTTGTGAGGGTGATCGTGTACGTACAGACAAACTTCTAGAGGAGGTATTGTTTTTCGTTTAACTGTGTTACTTGCTCTCTTTAAGCTTTGACTTTTTAAATAAAAATAATCCTTGTAATTTATGTTCCACCTAATTGTTTTGAGTTAGAATCTCTTTTCTCAAAATTTATCCCCTCAGTATCCATGGGAACAGTTTAGTCAGTAGACATATATGGGTTTACTTGTCCCTTCCCCACTGCAACGTTTTTTCATTCTTGTTACTTCCTCGCGGATCAACAACGTAGTTGAAGTTACCTAGTTATCCTTTACTTCTCCAATATGGAACAAGGAGATATTTTGGTGACACATATATTAGCTTAGCATATAGTTATATGTCAGGCATTGTTGGAATTTCTTTTGTCATCAGTCTGGTTAGCAGCTTGTTGTTTTGGTCCTTCTTCCCTAATCTGAGTAATGGAAATACAATGCAGTCTAGGCGGAGTAGCCTATCTTCGGAATTCAGATGCAGTTTTATATGTGAAGGCTGTTTTGTTCCTTGTTTGTGGCCTAATATACATGTAAATTTTTAAAGGTTGTAATTCTTTATTTTATGCTCTGTGGAATGTCTAGGGACACTTCTATAGCAGAAAGGCACAGGAAGCAGATGAGAAATACGCTCAAAAGCTTCTTGAAGCTCAGAGTAGGTGTGTACTGTAAAGCATTCTTGAACCATGATTTATTATACCATCTCATAAGATGGCATGACAGGTGAGAAATTGAATGCAGAGAAGATGTGGTGTCTCTTGACTTGCATCACCATGAACCGAAGGAAGCTGTACGTCTTCTAACGCTTCAACTAACCTATTTCTCTGGCATCCCAGGTTGGTCATCATGATCCTCCATTTTTTATTGAAATGAAATTCACAAGATGGAATGATTTTGGTTCGTTATCTCCTTTTTATATTTTCAGATTTTAAGTTCGTTGTCTCCTTTTTTTCCTTTTCAGATTTTAAGTACCTTAAGGTCATACTGGGAACGAATGACACCACGGGAGCTGCCCGGAGACGACTGGTATGACTATATCATCAAGCTCATGTTACAATGCTTACTTTCTGATACTAGACTTTCTTTTTCTTTCTTTTTTGGTCTAATGTTTTTCAGAATTTCATTTAATCCAGTTCACTTGGAATTGGCTAATTTAAACACTGGACGTGTCAATGCTAAATTGTATGGCTTCTTGACATGAAGACTACTGGATGGTTTTGTGCCAAACTACATGACACTTTCTAATTGATTATTACTTCTGAGGGGTTTTTTCATACATTATGACTCCATCCATATGTTTCTGCCCTTTAGAAGATTAGAATTTGAATCTAGATATCTTTCTAAATTTCGTTGTGCAGATTATAAAGCAACTGGAGAAGGAATCAATCAAGTGGACAGAGGAGAATGGTCGAACAATATGGATCCGACTGGATGTAATTGACCCAAAACGCTTGAGCTTCTCAAGAAAAATGAGTGAAAGAAACAAGAGCTCACCTTAAGAAGAGATGAACTTAAAAGAAGCCCATGGCAGATGCTGCTTTTGTTGTTGTCCATATGGGCTTTGAGATGAACTTTTCTTTTGCGGGAAGTTGATAAAAGATTCTAGAAAGGTGAAATTAAAGCAAGACTTGACCTAGGTATTGAAATTGAAAAAAAGGTCCTCTCTTTGTTGAGCTTTAAACTGCTCATTAAACATTTGTACATGCTTGAGTTACTTTTGATATTCGACCAAAAAAAGGAGTTACTTTTGAGAGGTTTTATGGATCGCATGGTTGGTTTCGTTGTTGTGTGAAGTTGATTACTCAACCAGGTCAGCTTCTACTTGACCCAAAAACGTTAGGTTAGTTTCAGAATAGAATTTGATATGGAGCTATGACTGGGACTTGGCTAAAACACCAAAGGCAAATGAAATGGCTAACATAATCTTCCGAATGCATGGGTTGGTTACATAGTAGCCTAATCTGTTATATATTTTTTGACTCCGTATGTGACTAATGCTGGAAAAGTCGGAAATCAGAATAATTTCAAGTTGGTAAACGCAAAAAATTCAAGAATTGAAATAATTTATCCATCCTGGTAGCTAGGAAACAAAAATGGATCAATCTTATTAAAGTTATGCTAAATGTATTATGTTAAGTTAACCGGAATTTTTTTTGAATTGTATCATCGTATTGACTTGAAATTGCACACCTTACCTGTTTCAGGCAAGAATTCATCTCCATGAGAATAGTAAGTAAGGCTTTGCATAAATGCTTGCTCACTCAAAATGATTACTGGGAATTTACTTCTTCAAAAGCAAGCTGAGCAGTTTTCATTAGGTTTTTATAACATTTCATATACTCTCTAATTCAATAATTTGCTTTCAAATGTCTCACATTTGCATCCATGAATATTCCAATCTTCTATAGAGGCACCCATTTCCCTCTCGGTTTTGCCTAACACTTGAATATATACAGGTAGAACACAAAAATTCAAGGACTAGGGTGAGTAAGTACTGGGAGGCTGGATTATAGCTCCTTACAAAAGGATTCTCAAATTCCATCAAGCAAGTTTGGGGAAGGAAAATTATACATCTAAGTATATCATTGGGTAAGCCTCTGCATCTCATTTTGGTCATTTAGGGTTTCAATGAGAAGTGGAGGAGCATATTGGGCAGTCCCTTGGTGCTCTTCAGAATCCTGGCAGAATGAAAGAATGATGGTATCAATTGACATCTCCACCACTGCAAAGAAAAGAGTGGCAACCACATAACCGAGACCCCAACAAACCTGCACAAACATATAAGAGCAGATTAATCATTTATATAATCTACATGATTATTGTGCTCTGGTTCTTGTCAATCAAATATAGGCTCTACAAATATTTTAACGAAAGCCTGGTTGATGTTATAGAGAGAGGGAGGCTAACAACATAGCATTAAAGTCTACTTTGCTGTCCTAGCAGTAACTAATATTAATGCTTTCATCAGACAATGACAAATCATCACTAAAACGCATTATCTTTTAACCATACCAACACAGGAAACAGAGGAGAAGAGATCTTGTTGTGTGCAGATCTGTATCTGTGGGTATCCAACATAAGGAACGCAAAAAGTGCTGTTGAGAGGCTGACACACAATTTTCCAAGGAACAGGATAACATCTCCAATCACATTTACCCTCCCTATCCGAAGGATGTTACTAATGATCAAATCTGTTGCGATTGCAGAAGCCTTACAGAAGCTTTTACCCGTTATAGCAATCTGCAAGAGTAACAAGCATATTTTCCAGAAACCAATCAGATGCACAAACTATATAAAACGGAAGGTATAACAAGTCAGTATCCGGATCTGAAACCCAAAATGAATAATAAAATAAGCACATAAACGAGGAAAGAAAAGTTATACATAGTGTTTGCAGTTATGTAGCCTGTAGGTTACAACAAAAATAAGTACAGTTTAATTGGTAGCTTTCATGTGCCTTCTCACTTCTTTTTTCTTTCAAGCTTCTTGGAGTTCTTACTTCATTTTACGGCCCACTCTGAGTACATGTAGCCAAGTCCCAGAATCACGTTAAACATCCCATTAGTTTCAAAAAGGCATACAATTCACACCAATTCGATATTGCGTACTCAAAACAACACGCTTAAGACTTGAGAATACTATGATGCATTATCCAATCTGGATTCAGGCATAAATTTCCCAAGTAGTGACCACTTCTAGCATGCTGGGCAAACAAGAAATCGATAGAGGCATTTGACTTTCTTCTAACAAATAAGTTCCTCTTTTGTACATTTGTCATACAAAGATGAATGAATATGAGAAAAAACAATCTTACGGAAACTTGAGCATTTACTACTTATGTAAAAAATTACCATAATATAGGCATTGCGATTAGCTGATTTGATTGTCCACTCGATACACCTCAGGCTAAATCTCGAAGTATGGTACACAGCCTTTCCAAACCAGTTATCAGGTGTGGTTCCAGCAACTTTTAGTCTGCGGCGAATTGACTCAAGCATAAAGCGGATTGATTCCACAAATGACACAATTAGAGAGCCAAGAGCAACCGACCCAAGGTTATAGCGCACAAGCCGTTTCATGGAGGAAAAGACTGGAAGAAATGGAATTTCCGGCTGCATTGAAGAAAATAATGAGCAACTAAAAATAAAAAACTGGTACACAATGAAATAAACTTTCACTAGCCCTCAAAAAGAAAATCTCAGGTAATTCAATTTGGAAGTACTAAAGATAAGACCCATAATATCATCCAGCAGACATTAATTATGTTTGGAGGGACAATTCCCCAACATATATTCAGCATATTGACACATGCAGACCCCGACACACATGTCAGTGTGTCAAGACACTGACATGCATGCAGGCACATGCAGACGCCAGCACGCCTGTTGACACATGTAGATACCGATATCCATGCCAACATATGTCTGTCTACTCCCTACTCTAAAATGGATAGTACTTATTCTCAACTCAATATTAACATCCACATAAGCACAAGATCACCACCTCTAAAAGCAGTTTTTGGAATGCCATAACAGACAATTAAATCAATGGCTTATAACAATAAGATTCTATTGCACACTGAGTAACTGGATCATCACCTCTAGAGGAATTATAAATTAGGTTACAGAAGATCTAGAGGAACTATGAATTAACTGAGCCACCTTATGTCTTATAAAATATAAATATTACTAAAAGCTTTGATGCTATAATACCAACCAAGCATTCAACACTATCATGTTTATATCTCTATATTGTCCATTCTTGCAATCCAAGTAACAAAGTTAAAATCCAGACTCACAAACAAGATCTACAAGTCAACTTAGTTGTAAACATTTATACATATAGCTTAGTAACTTACTGAAGTTTCACCACGAGCCCAATAATAAGAGGCAACAGAACCCGCAATAACAGTCGATGAGCATGCTATGAAAAATTGTGTAGCCCAATAACCACCAAATAGGTGGAAAAGGATGGCAACTCCAATATGAGGAGTGTAATGAATGCTATAACCGCAACAACGATCACAGTTCACTCGTTTTGACAAAAGATCATAAACACAGCAGTTCAAATTGCAGTCATTCTGGACAACTTGACCAGAACTGAACAGATGGAAAGCAGCTGAAAACCAGAACATGTAAAAAATTGCAAGGATGGTATATGGAATGACTGGAAATATTATGAGCGCTTGAGCTTCTCCTATGACCTTCGCAGCAACCTGCATACAGATTAATGTATAGAGCCATTGAGGTTAAGGGAAAGTAAACAACTCTGGGTGAAGAAGACTACCAGGTACTATGATAAATAAGTTATGACTGGTGTTTCCAAAAGTGGACGGTGCACATTTCAATTAGGGTTTTTTATCACAAATGGTCCCTGAGGTTTGCAAAATTATCACTTTTCGCCCCTAATGTTTTTTTGTGAAAGGCTTTTAACACAAATGGTCCATGACAGAAAATTTGACGGAAGCTAACGGCACGGACCATTTTGATGTGTGGAGGGTAACCTTAAGGACCATTAGTGCCACAAAAAAACGTTAGGGACGATATGTGATAATTTTGCAAACCTCAGGGACCATTTGTGATAAAAAGCCTTTCAATTATGTGCTATTGGCAACATCAGCACTTGCTTCTGTGAAAATTTAGTAATAATATATGCATAAATTATATGTAATTATTTCAGTTGCTTTAACACGTCAGCATTGATCCCAAAATTAAAAATATATATTTTCTGTAATAGCTAATAGGAAACGTGGCTCAACAGAACCTCTGATGCATGTTAGCTAGGCTCAGTCCTGCTCTCAATACAGATTTCTGGCCATCTTAAATTTTCTTAATTTGACAACTTGAATGAGTAAGACATCTTTTGACACAAATCTAGAGATGAGCCGTATCATGCTTAACAGTGCTCGCTAAAAATATTTCTAGGGCTTGCCTAAAGATGATTGAAGTATTAGACACATTAAGGCATTAATAACAATGCAGTGGTCATTGTCCCATGCCATACCTTTTTGAGGTTAACCCGTAACAGTTATGTATTTCATCATATACCTTTTTCTTTTTTATGAAATAACCATGTTTCTTATCTTTTCAGTTTTAGAATGTTCATGAAACTCCAAATGTGGACTTGTGGAACAATCCATAAGAAAATCCTATTATGCCTAAACAATGTCTAAATGTATCAAAAATATCTCTTGTGTATACTATTTCTTATATGTTGTTTCTATCATTCTGTATATTTCTTCTTAACCATACACTGAGAATTCAGAGGGAAACAGTAGCCTAACCTAAGTTAAAGGCTAACTCCTAACATATCCTACATCGGCATTTTACTTTACAAATGCTCATATACAGCTTCTTGGAGCAGCTTCACCTAATTGGAGTACGTAGTTCTTAAATCAAAGAAACCATAACATTTTTTAAACCAAAAGGTCTCTACAACTTTGAGTTTCATCATCTTTTTACCATTTATGTTCTTACAATTTAGTATGATTAATTGAACATCATACTTGCCTTAAGGACAGATGTTGCCATAAGGATGCGGCGGACTATAGCAATTGATGTAAGAACAGCAACAACTGTAATAAAGGTCATAAATACAGCAGCAGCACGGAGATGAGTTAACTCCTGAAATATTGAAACAATTGTGTTAGTTGAAGATACATACAGACGGCTTCCAAGTTAGGAGTACTCAGTTAATGAAGGTACACACCCTTCCAGATATGCGAATGTATGGATCGTGCTCACCAATGATTGGAGAGATGGC